AAATAAATAAATAAAATCTTTTTTTTTTTTAAAGATTTTATTTATTTATTCATGACAGACAGACAGAGAGACAGAGGCAGAGGGAGAAGCAGGCTCCCCGTGGAGCAGGGAGCCCGATGCGGGACTCAATCCCAGGACCCTGGGATCATGACCTGAGCCGAAGGCAGACGCTTAACCGACTGAGCCACCCAGGCGTGCCCAATAAATAAAATCTTTAAGAAAAAAAAAATAAACATAACTTTTATTATGTGTTGCCTCTGCCCAAGTAGGCTACTTGCCTTTTTTATGACAATCCTGTGAGCACCACTTACGGAGGAGGAAACCAAGGGCTCAGAGAAGTTTAGAAATGTGTGCAAGACCTCACAGATTTTAAATAAAAGAGTAGGGATTTTCAGCCATTAAAAACGATATTTAAAAAACAAAACAAGGGGCACCTGGGTGGCTCGGTCGGTTAAGTGTCGTCTGCCTTTGGCTCAGGTCGTGATCTCAGGGTCCTGGGATTGAGCCCTGCGTTGGCCTACCTGTTCAGCAGGGAGTCTGCTTCTCCCTCAACCCCTCCCCCCACCACTGGTGTGTGCTCTCTCTCTCTCAAGTAAATAAATAAAAATCTTAAAAAAAAAATAAAAAACAAAACAACGATATTTATGATGCCATAAATTATTAGAAATGGATAATGTCACATGAAAAGAATTTACAAACATATGCTGACAAGCCTAGGATTATGTTAAATCAAAAATAAACCTATGATCGGGGTACCTGGTTGGCTCAGTCAGAAGAGCATGTGATTCTTGATCTCAGGGTCATGAGTTCAAGTCCCACATGGGGTGTAGAGATTACTTAAATAAATAAAAAAAACTTTAAAAAAAAACTATGATCACAAGAAAAACAAATCCCAATAGAGGAACATTTTACAAAATACCAACTAGTACTTCTCAAAATTATCAAGATTATCAAAAAGAAAGTCTAGGGGCGCCGGGCTGGCTCAATCAGTAGAGCATGTGACTCATGATCTTGGGGTTGTGAGTTTGAGCCCCACATTGGGTGTAGAGATGACTTTAAAGTGAAATCTTTTTTTTTTTTTTTAAGATTTTATTCATCCATTTGACATAGAGAGAGAGAGCACAAGCATGGGGAATGGCAGGCAGAGGGAGAAGCAGGCTTCCCACTGAGCAAGGAGCCTGATGCAGGCTCCATCCCAGGACCCTGGGATCATGACCTGAGCCAAAGGGAGACATTTAACTGACTCAGCCACCCAGGCACCCCTATAATAAAATCTTAACAAAGAAAAAAACAAAAAACAAAGAAAGTCTAAAAAACTGTCACAACTGGGGCACCTGGGTAGCTCAGTTGTTGGGCATCTACCTTCGGCTCAGGTCATGGTCCTGGGGTCCTGGGATCAAGACCTGCATCGGGCTCCCTGCTCAGCGGGAAGCCTGCTTGCCCCTCTCCCACTCCCCCTGCTTGTGTTCCCCCTCTCACTGTGTCTCTCTCTCTGTCAAGTAAATAAATAAAATCTTTAAAAAAACCAAACAACTGTCACAACCAAGAGGAGGCTAAGGAGACATGAAAACTAGATATAATGTGATATCCTGGATAAGATCCCAGAATAGGAAAAGGACATTGGGTGAAAACTAAATAAATCTGAATAAAAGTATGGAGTTTAGTTTCTCAATCTTTCTGTAAATCTAAAACTGTTCCAAAAAAATAAAGCTTATTAAACAGAACAAAACAAAACTATGACCATCATAATGGCCATAAATACAAAGAACAATGGGAGGGTTGTGGTAAGCATGACAATGCCTACTTGTAGTATTTTTGAGTAGGTGTGTTGTAATATGTTGTAATGTCATTAACATAAAAGCTAGAAAACTTAGATTATAATCTTGGCTCTCCTAACTGTGAACTCTTAGAAATGTTTATTTAATTTTCTCAGAAAATTGAATGAATTATTCTTTGAGTCATTTCCAATCCAATGCTTCCACGATTCTATGATAAAATATTAAAGTCCCCATTGTGAAGATTATTTCACTAAATCCAGTATGATATTGCTGATTAGTGATTCCATGCTCATAGAGATGCCGAGTGCATCACAGAGATGCAATAAATTGTATCCCTCACATCCAGTTCCCCCTATTATTAACATCTTACATTAGTATGGTATGCTTGTTACCTTAATGATCCAATATTGCTTTGTGATTAAGTGATTATTAACTAATCTCCATACTTCATTTTTTTAAAAGATTTTATTTATTTATTCATGAGAGACAGAGAGAGAGAGAGAGAGGCAGAGGGAGAAGCAGGCTCCCCGCTGAGCAGGGAGTCGGATGCGGGACTCGATCCCAGAACCCTGGGATCGTGACCTGAGCCGAAGGCAGAAGCTTAACCATCTGAGCCACCCAGGCGCCCAATCTCCATACTTTATAAGTACACTTTTCAGAAACTCAAAAACATAAATCTCTGAATAGAGTCAGACTCAAGGAAGGGAAACTATGTGGCTGAAGACAGGGCTGCTGGATGGTGGGAAGAAGACTGATTCTTGACTTTCCAACTTTTTTTTTTTACCTCTTGGATTTTGAACTATTTGCCTGTTTTGTCTATTAAAATTTAGTATTTACTTAAAAAGTTTATGCCAGAAAAAAAGATGGAAATATTCTAAAATAACAGTAGTGATTCTGTTTAGATAAATGGGGCCTCAAAAAAGTTTGCTTTTTCTTTCTGCCTTTCTGTTTTCCAAATTTTCTTTAATTCTCATGAATTACTTAATAGATTATTGAAAGCACGTAAACAAATTTACTATCACCAGGAAATATTCCTTGAAAAACCACATGTGACTTTACATTGTCTCCCTTCGTACTTAGGAGCACAACTTGTAACAATATGTTGTTTGCTGAAATTTCATTTGTGAGCATCACATTCTCACCTGGACTGTAACTAAGAGCATGGAGGGTGTGGAGGAACATAGTTTATATCCCTTCCTGTTCCTTTATAGCACCCAGTTCAGGACTCTGCATATGGCTTGGTGGACTGGATAGAGTCCTTAGTTCCTGACCTGAATCTGCCACTAACTGAGGCGAAACCTCCAATAAACCATTCTGCTTTCTTTTTTTTTTTTTTTAGATTTTATTTATTTATTTATTTGAGACAGAGAGAATGAGAGAGAGAGAGCACATGAGAGAGGGGAGGGTCAGAGGCAGAAGCAGGCTCCCTGCCGAGCAGGGAGCCCGATGCGGAACTCGATCCAGGGACTCCAGGATCATGACCTGAGCCGAAGGCAGCCGCTTAACCAACTGAGCCACCCAGGCGCCCCAAACCATTCTGCTTTCTGAGCCTCATTTTTCTCATCTGTTCAAGGAGGGTGCATTCACTTTTAATGTGCTAAATTTATTTTCAATAAATGTTTTTTGACCAACAGACCTGATAGGAAAAAGATAAAGACCTTGATAGGAAAAAGATAAAGACCATATTTGGTTCCGTGAGAAAGTTGCATGCCTACCTGAAGTTCTTAGCAGGCAAGTGAAATATGTCTCACGCTGCTTTGCATTTCTTTTTTTTAAAGATTTTTTTATTTATTTGACAGAGAAAGACACAGCGAGAGAGGGAACCCAAGCAGGGGGAGTGGGAGAGGGAGAAGCAGGCTTCCGGCGGAGAAGGGAGCCCAATGCGGGGCTCGATCCCAGGACCCTGGGATCATGACCTTGAGCCGAAGGCAGACGCTTAACGAC